TGCTCCGGCATTCGGCTGCTGTTGATCGGAGAAACCACGGAAAACTACCGATCAGAGTAGCGGACCGTTTTTCCTCCAGTCAGCGAATTCGACTTGGCTGACAAGCTAGTGTCGAAAATCCTGCCAACTTCGAGACTGTAATCCCATAAACCTGACGTTCAGAGGCACTGCAGTGACATCAACTTATGCTCTTAGCCACCTACGCCTGAGAGACAGATATTCAAAATTCCTTCAAAATCCACTATTCCACGAACTAACAGGGGAAACACATTGCCTAATGCAGGAGTCAAAATAATTCGTAAGAATGATTTTGGAAGATTTTCGATGATTTGTACCTTTTAGACAAATTCAGAAACGATACACACTGACAGGATTACTTGTGTGTATTAGGCATAGTACAAATTAGTACGATTCCATCACGGACATCAAACTATGCAGTGGGGAACATCCGCTTCCCAAGTCAATTCGCCCTCTGTTCTCAACTTCGTTCTATTTAAACGAAACTCCATAATTCTAAATTTCACAAACTTATAATTTTTCCATCTATAATACTTGATCACATTCACATTTTTTTTGTTCGATTTGTACACACAGACGAGCTCTCCTCAGAAACGTCATTCTTCACAATTCTCTCTCTTTTTCATTCATTCTCTCTTCCGTTTCTCTTTCCCTCCTTCCCTCTCCATAACTCACCCACGCACGTACACACACACCCTGTTCTACAGGATGGCGCGGACTTCACACTTGGGCACTAACTACCGTTCACGACCAAGTCGTCGAACTCTTATGGTCACACTACACTTACATCGTAATGAATGGTGCACACGTGAAACTCCCTGAGGACCAACACAACATACCTGCACGCCCACACGCTATCCCCATTCATATTTGGGTGCAACCTACCGCTGCACAGAGGAGAATTTTCCTCACCCACTCGCGCTAAGTTCCGTAAACGAACCGACAAACAGGACATTTTGAGGGCCCAGGGCCACAAAAACCATGAATGGGAAGCGGGCGTCCGAAGGAGGAAACGAGCCTACTCCAGTGTCCAACGTCTCAGATTCTTCGGGGAAATTATGCGCGAGAACTAGGCGAACACCTGATTACCGCACGCGATGACGTCATGCCGGTACGATCGCGTCCGAAAGCTCGCAGGGGGCCTTGGCGGCGGTCGAGAATGCCGCGCGGCCGGACAAAAACATTCAAGGCCGTCCCACGCAGCTCCTTCGTGGAGGAAGAGGAGGGGGAGGGGGAGGAGCGGACTCGGCCGCGCCCGCGGGCCAGGCGCCTCCCCGCACCGCACCGCAGCGCAGCGCACCGCGCCGCGCCACACAGTGGGCCGAAATGACGACGAAGACGCGCAAACCATTCACCCCTCCCCCCAATTCCTACACAAGCGTTTCCATTGTCACACCTCGAAACATTTCTTTTAATAGTAGTTTATGAAATTAGTTTATAATGTTAAGCTTTATTGCAGGAGAACATGTTTTGAAAACGAGCTACTTTATGAGCGAGTTTTCAAATTTGTACGAATGTAATAAAGCAACATTATAAACGAATTGCATACTATCTTTATTTGTATAACAGCATTATACATTTATAGGAGAATCAAACTTAATTTCGCGAAACAACTTCTCTGTAACGAGTCGGGTATTTGTCATCGAGCGAGTAAACGGTGGTCGGCTGTTCCGTTTAACTCTACCTCCTCCCCATTCTCTCGCTACGATTGGCTGAATGTGTGATGACGCAAACATTCGTGACATAAGAGCTAATACGTCATTATTTGTGCCGTAATATGCCCGACTATGAACGATTTCGTGCAACAGAAAAGGTGCTTTTATAATGCTGGAATACAAAAAAATAATTTTAAGGTCGCTTTTGAACTATTAAAGTAATTGACTACTGCCAGTAGGGAGTTTTAACATCAGAAGTAAGAAGACATCCTTAAACTCTTTTGATCAAGTGACTAACTACTTTATGGGGTCATAAGGAACAACGTAAAACATTTTTGGCAATAGCCACATTGCATTACGCTTTTTAACAAAAGAAGCATTTATCAAAAAAGCCGCATTATGTATCAAAAAGTGTAGGCTAGAGGTGAGACATTTTGATACGAGTCACGAGTATAACAAATCTACATTGTGAACGGAGGGTTAGATTTTGTGGGGCTCCGCGAAGAGTATGCAGTCTGGAATTGGCTTTTCTCTACAATGAAGGGTATATCTTGAAAACTTTTGTTCTGAGCATAAATATTACATAATCCGAAGATATGATTTCAACTACTTTTTCGAGAATTTCTTACCCGCCACTTTTTTTAACATATTCTCTTAATTCTTGTCAGCAATGTGGAATTTGTAAAATGAATAATTGTAACTGCCTCACATATGAGAATCGGTTTATCAGACTTAGAAAAGGTTGCATTTTTCTTTTGTTAAGCGGCCACTTTGCCGTTTGTAAGATGTCCGCAGAGATTCCTACAGGCGTGCACTATTTATAATGGTATAAGGACTACGTTAGGCCCAAGGTAAACGTTATAACTTCAAGGTCAGGCATCTGACTGTTAGTGCATTATGTCGCCACCTTACTCGGGGGTGCAAAAACTCCCTAGTAACATTAGAGGTAACGGTATAAGGAAACACAAACATCCATACCTCAGAATTCAAACCCCCGACCCTTCATGTAGTTACAGCTCTTCTGTCTTAGGGACCTCGGCTATCCAGATCGGCAATGGGAAACATTACTTCGTGTGTGAAGATTGATTCTTATATGTCATCTTCTCAAGTCGTTACTCTTTCGAGGGTGGTGTCCTGGGACAAGGCGATGTCCTTTCTCTGCTGAAACATCAGAGCGTCCTACACGTCGGCTTTTCCCTCTTCGTATCCCTAACGGGCCACAGCCCCAGTTGGGACAAGCTCTGGTCACGATTGGTACAGTAATTAAGTGTGTAAACCAACAAAAAATGACACACAATGAAGACCCCGCTGCCAAAACGAAATGAATGTCTGTGTTACTAAATCACCAAGGGTCGAACCTTAGAATCTCGCGCTAGGTCTTAATGATAATGATGGTAATAATAATAATAGTAATAATAATAATAATAATAATAATAATATAAACTTTTTCATTGATTTAAATGTTTTTATTTACTTTTCATTGTCATCCCTCATTATTAGTAACTTCTACAAGCTGGGGAAATTTTCAATATTTCCTGTTACCCCCGAAAGGAAATGCAATGTTTTATTCCCGTTAGAGAGTTTACGAATTTTCATTCACTAATTGTTTTATCTCCTCCTTTATAATCTGTTTGTTCCTTATTCTTATCATCATTCCATACGTCTCTAATAACTGCAGCTGAAAAACAGCTCAAGAACGCGAAGACTTAATCACACTATCTATTATTTATTACATATCTCGAAACCTAGGTGGCTCAGGGCATCAATTGATCACACTACCGTGTCTATGTCGTAGGGCTCCAGTCCCGATGGTAGCAGAAGGTTTTTCGACATAGCGGCCACTGCCCGATCGGTAGTTTTCCGTGGTTTTGCGATAAACTCCAGGTAAATGCCGGAGCAGTACCCTAACAAATGTGCCACGCACCGTGCGACATCTTTCCTTCCTCTTCCTTAGCCTATTATCACCCCCCACACACACTTCATACACTACACTACCACTCGTGCCGGGAGAGCAGTCAGGAGCTTAGAGCTTGCAGCCAGGGCGATGCTCCGGTGTTGGGAGAAACCTGGTTGGGGAAAACTCTGCAAGCCGAGGGGCAGGCCTACATCGAATCTCGTCATCCAGGAGGGGAAGATCACCACCACTACCTCCTCCCCCTCCAACAATAAGCATGCATGCCATTGACTAATAGCATTAGCAGTGGAAGCGCCCGAAATCACAAATTAATCAATCAATTAACCGAAATCATAGCCCGTAAGTCGTGTAGGTCAGCACCGGTTCTCACGTTTCAATGAGCACGATACACCACTACCTCCCGGGATATAACATTAAGAACATTAACGGGACTTTTGACCACAGCTGGTTGAAGGGGCTGGAAACGCTAAATAATGAATCGGTGGAAAAATTAGGGTCTGAATGTAGGTCGTTCGGGCCCAGTGTGAGTGAGAGGCGGCGGCGATGGCGGCGGCGGCGGCGGCGGCGGCGGAGAGCAGACAGAAGGCGCGGGCGGTGTGGCGTCCCTCGCTCCCACGGCCCTCGGCCCACGGGCGATAAGGCACGCGCAAGTCATCCCGAAGCAGCACGCGCTGGGCGAGGCACGGGCGATAGGAAGCGACAGCTGGCCTCTGCCTCTCCCTCGCCCCGGCTGCCCGCACTTCCTGTCGGGCGACATCGGCTCCCGAACGCGATTCACGGGTCTTCCTTCGCTGCATCACGTCCGTCGCGCACGCGAATTGGATCGGCATCCTCGAGAGGTCACACGCGAAAGAAAGTCAAGCACCGATTGCCAAGGCCTATTGAATCAATTTAGCAAATTAACCACTGAAGAATCTGAAACACAATGTTCTTCCACGGTCTAAAATTAACTTCGCCAATTCTCTTTCTCTAATAACCATATGCAGAACTTTCCTTATCTTGGTCGTTTTTATATTAGTCGTGGAAAACAAGATGCCATTTGGTAGAATATAAGATATTTTAAATAGAGTAACGTGCATTTCTTAATTTGCATCTTGACATACAGTTCTTGGAATAAAGAAAACGTCTTTGTCACTTTCCCGGGAAGAAAAGATTGTAGATTATCAACCTTGAACAATGAATCGGTTGTGACAGTTGATGTTGCGTCCGACCTTCTGCTACTCCAGAGATTTCACAATTCACAAACGACGGCATAATAATGACATTTGCAATGAACGCGGAAGACCTGTAATTAACCAGTAACATTGTACAAAAAGTGCTGCAATGTTTGAAATATAAAACTGATTCAAGAATCAAATGAAAACAAGGAAAGTGTTACGAAATTACACGGAAAGTACCCAGACTCCACGTACATTACCAACACAAACCTTCATTTCAATTTCTAAATCTTCAAATCCACATCCAGCGTCATTTTCTTACGTGCAGAGATATAAACAACACAAACAATACACGGAAACAGGGCACGAACACGTCCGCACCAGAAGCACCAGTCACGAACCGCACGCACTAACGACCAAAAACGTCAGGAAAACACCTCGATCGCGTTGTCAAGCGGAAAGCCCGGCCGGTCGCGTCGCCTTGTGCCGGCCGAGCAGTAGAACTCACCGCTTGGGCGCGACACGTCCGCAGGCGAAGGTCTCCCGATGCACCTGTCTGTCCGTCTGGCGGGCGGCGGCGGCGGCGGTGGTGGTGGCGGCGGCGGCGGCAGCTGCCCGCGATGTCGCGGCGCGCGGACCGTACGAGTCACTGGTTTAAGCACGCGCGCTCTCGTCCCTGCGGCATAGACAACGCGCTGCTGCTACTGGCCGCTAGCGCCCCCGCCCCCGCCCGCACACCGCTGACGCGCTCGCGACGTCATCGGGAGCTCAGGCGTCTCGCAAGGGAAGAGGCGGCGGAAAGGCCCACGTGGATGCCGGCTCGGAACCGTAAACCCGAATTAATGAAAGGATGCGGTTGACAGTTAACTGTTTATGTGTATACTGATGCGAAATCGCCAATAACCGATGATACAATAATCGTATCGCTCACGCAGCGATCGGCATTTCTGATGACAACAGACAATACTGTTTGGAAGTGAGAGCATACATTTATTTACGGACCATGATTTCTATTGTTTTGCGAACAGTTATTAAAGAAATTTTTCAAAAATAGTAAACTTATTAAAAATTAGAGTGCCTTACCAATACTTTAGCCATTAATTTGTTAGATAACAGTTCAGAAATAAAAAGAATTCAAGCTTCTAGATTTGCCACACAATTTTATTTGCCTCACAGTGTAGTTAGATGAGTTATCAACTAGATTACTGAAGAGATACTAATGAATATCGTCTTAAATCAATGCTAATTATCTAGACAACAAATGTACGCATTGTTCTTATGTGTAAAAATTATAAATATACGTTCAATATAGTAAAAATATTTCTTTTAAAATTTCGACTGTACGAATTCATATCGTAATAATATTAATGACGAGGGCAATGACTACAAAGATCAAGTGTGAAGGCGACAGGACACGGAGGACGAGCGAACAGAAGCAGGCTGGCAAGAAAGCAATGCCTTCACCGCCCTTCCCGAGGGCGAAAGGGCCCGGGCGTGGGTGGCAACACGCCGAGTGACAGAGCGGCCGTCAGGAGAGCGCGGCGGCCTTCGCCTCTGGGGGGGGGAGGGGTGTCCCTTGCTTACCTGCGTCTGGTCCCTGCGTGCACCGAGGTCGTCTGCTGCTGCTACTACTGCGGCGGAGGCGACGTGCTCGCTTATCACCGGCGCCGGCGAAGCCAGGACCATCTCCTCCTTATCGCGCCCGCCAAGGGCCGCGACGAGACGAGACGCGCCTCGCGCCGCCGCGCGTGCTCGCCGCGCCATCTACCGGCGAGGCCTCGAACTCGCCGGTGACGCGCTCTTGCGAGAGGGAAGGGAGTTTCGAATGAATGGCGGGTGTGGTTACAGGAGAGACTATCCATCCATGGAACGGTGCTCAGCGCCCGACAAAAGCAAGAGACAAAGGTTCGCCTGCGAACGGACTGGGCAGGGCCGGATTTACCTACAAGCAAAACAAGCAGTTGCTTGGGGGCCCCCGTTCACCAGGGGTCCCGCGTTTTGGAAAAATACGCATACCATATTTTTTTGTCTGTGAAATAATTGTTAGTCAAGTAGTCTACTGTGTAACAAAATGTACAATTTCAAAACATTTTTTAAAAATATTTATTACGTGTTAAATTAATATTAACTATACTTTATTTCCTTTACTTATAACTGAATATGTAAATTTTTTATGCAAACCTCAAAATTTGCAGTGAAGAGCAGAAAAAAAATGTAAAATGTATTTAATGTAAAAAAATGTAACACAAGTAAAACATCCTATAAAAAATTATCAGTTTTCATTTGTATCTGTACAGAAAGTACTTGTACTATAATACATTTTTTACTTAATAAAGATAGAGCTATTTTTTCGGAGGGGGGGGGGGCAACACAATTTTGTGCTTGGGGCCCCGCACTACTTAACCCGGCCCTGGGACTGGGTTATTTTGCGGGGACGGAACGTGGTGGAAGTGAGATCTGCCTTCTGTTCCAGTGAATATTGGAGACTTGATCAGAAAAATGTAGGATTTTTATAGTACGATTTATTTAGTCGTGCACTTGACGTAAATCAGCTGTTGCGGTTTCATTGGAAACTTCTATGTCGCTACACTGACGTCACGATTGGGACGTTCAACCTTCCGATTGGGTGAAATCGTGAACAGCTGATGTACGTCAAGTGCACAATTAAATAAATCCTGGTAAATATAATAACATCGCACACCGATATTCATTGTACGTAAATTTGTGTCACGTTCTGTCGCCACCAATGATCGTATAATGTACCTGACTTCTCCAACTCGGAGCGAACACAGTGAGAGCTGTATAAAATTGTGTAATTGTAATTGATTTGTGTCGATGGATGGTCCTTTCCGTAAGTTCGTCACATTCTTGTAATAATTACGAGCAATAAGAGCAAACAAAATTGGTGCATAGTAATCTCCAATTTTCGAAAATGTTAATTCAAATTAAAAGTAGCATTTTTGGGTCTTTGCTGGTTTTGGACTGTATAAATATTTAACTCCTTTTCCCTACATGAACTAATCGACTCGCTATCTTCGTCTCAGCTGCCATCAAGTGCTAAATTTAAGACCACAGAGAACAGATGTGGGGAAATTTTCTTTTACAAATCGAACAATAAAAGAATGGAATACTTTGCCTGCAAAAACCTTTGAACCCTTTCCTCGTAGCGTACAACAATTTAGGAAATTAAATTAGGGTATTACTATATAAATGAGGGAATTAGCTGACAATAGTAGGTTATAGAGCGATGCGTCAGTAATATATTGTGAAGTGACGTGTCGTAAAGAGTAGAACAGAGAAATAATGTAAGAATTGATTAAATGGTCATAGTGAAGTGTAGTGTAGTGAAGTGAAGCGAAGTGCAGTGAAGTGCAGCTGGACAAAAAATCAGTGCGGAGTTTGATTATGTTTCTTTTTTAACGTAATTTTAATTGTTTTATGAATTAGACAGTTTTATATCATTATTATTTTTATTATTAATGTTGTTATTATCATTATTATTTTATTTATGTAATTAGCTGCCACCGATTGCCCAATTGCAGTTCAAATAAATTTATCTTATCTTATTGCCGCCTAACAGAGTATTTTACTTTCTCGCTCCTACTGCGGAAAAAAAGAAAGTATTGTAATCGGACGCCGGGAAACTGCACAATTTCGATAGAAGAAACACCTATTTCCGGGCCTAAGTAATGAAAATGTGGATAAATCCTTTTCTTATATATAGTAAATTACTTTCTTTAATACGTGTAGTCAGTATCTAGGTTTTGTGGGTCCTTGATGCGGCAAAAGTGCGCCTGTCGAGTATCCGTGTGTCCGTCCGCCCGACCATCTTCTGTCCGTCCGTCTCTCAAGTCTGTGTCTCTCCGGTCTGTCTCTCCGTCTGTTCGTCGCCCTTGTCTCTCCGTCTGTCTTCCGTCTGTCTCTCCGTCTGTCTCTCCGTCTTCTCTCCGTCTCTGTCTCTCCGTCTGTCTCTCCGTCTGTCTCTCCGTCTGTCCTCTCCGTCTGTCTCTCCGTCTGTCTCTTCCGTCTGTCTCTCCGTCTGTCTCTCCGTCTGTCTCTCCGTCTGTCTCTCTCCGTCTGTCTCTCCTCGTCTCTCCGTCTGTCTCTCCGTCTGTCTCTCCGTCTGTCTCTCCGTCTGTCTCTCCGGTCTGTCTCTCCGTCTGTCTCTCGTCTGTCTCTCCGTCTGTCTCTCTCGTCTGCGTCTCTCGTCTGTCTCTCCGTCTGTCTCTCCGTCTGTCTCTCCGCTCTTCTGTTCTTCTCTGTCTGTCTCTCGTCTGTCTCTCCGCTGTTCTCTTGGTTCTGCTTCTCTCGTCTGTCTCTCTCGTCTGTCTCTCGTCTGTCTCTCTGTCTGTCTCTCCGTCTGCTCTCCGGTCTGCCTCTTCCGGTCTGCCTCTCCGTTCTGCCTCTCCGTCTGTTCTCCCGTCTGTCTCTCCGTCTGTCTCTCCGCCTGTCTCTCCGTCTGTCTCTCCGGTCTCTGGTTCTCTCGTCGGTCTCTCCGTTCTGTCTCTCCGTCTGTCTCTCCGTCTGTTCTCTTCCGTCTGTCCTCCGTCTGTCTCTCCGTCTGCTCTCTCCGTCTGCCTCTCCGTCTGTCTCTTCCGTCTGTCTTCTCCGTCTGTTCTCTCCGTCTGGTCTCTCCGTTCTGTCTCTTCCGCCTGTCTCTCCGTCTGGTCTCTCCGTCTGTCTTCTCCGTTTCGCTCTCTCCGTCTGTTCTCCTCCGTCTGGTCTCTCCGTCTGGTCTCTCCGTCTGTTCTCTCCGTCTGTCTCTCCGTCTGCCTTCTCCGTCTGTCTCTCCGTCTGTCTCTCCGTCTGTCTCTTTCGTCTGGTCTCTCCGTCGTCTCTCCGTCTGTTCTTCTCCGTCTGTCTCTCCGTCTGTCTCTCCGTCTTGTCCTCTCCGTCTGTCTCTCCGTCTGTCTTTCCGTCTGTCTCTCCGTCTGTCTCTCTCTGTCTGTCTACTCTTGTCTGTCTCGCTGTCTGGTCTCTCTGTCTGTCTCTGTCTGTCTGTCTGTCTCTCTGTCTGTCTCTCTTTCTGTCCGTCCGTTTGTGGTCAACGCTAGCGCAAAAACCGTTCAGACGATTCTGTTGCTACTTTCCACGGTAAAACTAGTGGTGCAAAAATAACATATACTTTCTCGCCCATATTTTTACGCAAAATCACACAACAAGAACTCAAAGTTTCGAAAAATTGCTCTTGAACTTATTTCAAAATCTATCTTTAAGGAATAGATTTCATCAAGGGAAAACTCTTTCTATAATATTTTAGGTGTAGGAAGATACCAACAAAATTTTGATCATTTGTAATTTTGGAAAAATAAGAGTTTTCAACGCACATGAGATCAACAATATATTCCTTAAGCGTCCTCCAAATATCACACATCACAATATTCACAATTTAATGAAAAACGATGGAGCCATATTTTGAAAATTTGGAAAATGTCCCAGGGGTTTCATATATAATTAAAATATCACTTTCAAATTCAAGGGGCTACCACACTAGCCATATCGATTGAGGAATATCAGTTTTGGAGAAAATTGGCTAGACCATTTAGCTGCTAGCGTTGTTCGCAGACGGT